AGCAGTTATACATGACAGCAGAATGCTATTTGATTCATTGTAGAACACAATTAGAACACAATTTTTCACTTCTCTGTACACGAAGTAGGGTCATGCCATTCCCATTCATGCAATCATGTATGTACCTAGGGTAAGGATGTCCATCTCATTCCACCATCTTTCCTATGCCTATACCCCCTCCCCTCCCCTCCCCTTTGTCCAGCCCAAAGTTCCTCCACTCATCCTGTGTCCCCCCAACCATTACAGATTAGCATCCACTTATCAGAGAAAACATTCAGCCTTTAGTTTGGGGAATTGGCTTACTTTGCTTAGCATGGTATTCTCTAACTCCACCCATTTACCTGCAAGTACCATAATTTTATTCTCTTTTAATGCTGAGTAATATTCCACTGTGAATATATATCACAGTTTCTTTATCCATTCATCTATGGCCATTCATCTATGGCCATCCAGGTTGGGTTCACTATTTGGCTATGAACATTGATGTCGCTGCGTCACTATAGGATGCTGATTTTAAGTCCTTTGGGCGTAAACTGAGGAGTGGGATAGCTGGATCAAATGGCGATTCCATTCCAATTTTTTTAAGGAATCTCCATACTACTTTCCAGATTAGTTGCACCAATTTGCATTCCCACCAGCAATGTATTAATGTGACTTTTCCCTCACATCCTCACCAGCACTTATTGTTTCTTGTATTCTTGATAACTACCACTCAGACTGGGGTGAGATGAAATCTTAGAGTAGTTTTGATTTGCATTTCTCTAATTGCTAGAGATTTGAACATTTTTTCATATATTTGTTGATTGATTATATATCTTCTTCTGATAAGTATCCATTACTTAGCCTATTTATTGATCGGGTAGTTTGGGTTTTTGGTGCTAAGTTTTTTGAGTTCTTTATATATCCTAGATATTAATGCTCTAATGTGTGTGGTAAAAATTTGCTCCCATACTATAGTCTCTCTTTTTACCTCACTGATTGTTTCTTTTGTTGAGAAGAAGCTTTTTAGTTTGAATCCATCCCATTTATTGATTCTTAATTTTATTTCTTACGCTTTAGGAGTCTTGTTTAGGAAGTTAGGGCCTAATCAAACATGATGAAGATCTGGACCTACTTTTTCTTCTATTAGGTTTAGGGTGTCTGGTCTAATTCCTAGGTCCTTGATTCACTTTGAGTTGAGTTTTGTGCGTGGTGAGAGATAGATAGGGGTTTAATTTCATTTTGCTACATATGGATTTCCAGTTTTCCCAGCACCATTTGTTGAAGAGGCTATCTTTTCTCCAATGTGTGTTTGGGCACCTCTGTCTAGTATAAGATAACTGTATTTATGTGGGTTTGTCTCTGTGTCTTCTAGTCTATACCACTGGTCTACCTGTCTGATTTGGTGCCAATACCATGCCATTTTTGTTCCTGTGGCTCTGTAGTTTAGTTTAAGGTCTGGTATTGTGATGCCTCCTGCTTCACTCTTTTTCATAAGGATTGCTTTGGCTATTCTGGGTCTCTAATTTTTCCAAGTGAATTTCATGATTGCTTTTTCTATTTCTGTGAGGTATGACATTGGGATTTTAATTGGTATCACATTGAATCTATGTAGCTCTTTGGGTAGTAAGGCCATTTTGACAACATTAATTCTGCCTATACAGAGCATAGGAGATCTTTCCATCTTCTAAGATCTTCTTCAATTTCTTTTCTTCGTTGTTCTGTAGTTTTCTTTGTAGAGGTCTTTCACCTCTTTTGTTAAATTGATTCCCAGGTTTTGTTTTTTGTTTGTTTGTTTGTTTGCTTATTTTTGTTTTTGTTTTTTGAGGCTATTGTGAATGGGGTGGTTTTCCTAATTTCTCTTTCAGAGGATTCATCAGTGATGTGTTGAAATGCATTTGATTTATGGGTATTGATTTTATATCCTGCTGCTTTGCTGAATTCATTTATTAAATCTCGAAGTTTTTGGTGGAATTTTTTGGATCCTTGAAGTATAGAATCATGTCATCAGCAAATAGTGATAGTTTGAAACCTGCCTTTTTTTTTTTTTAGATAGGAAAAATAAAGAAACACATGCACATGGTCCAGTGAGTGAGAATCAAAGGATTTTCTTCAAAGATCTAACTGCTGAGTTGTTTTCAAAACAAAACTCTGTATCTTAACATTATCCTATTACATTCTGATTCATTATCTCCAAAATCTCTTATCTACAAGTTCTTAACATATTTCTATTACATTAATAAAGACCATCTAGGCTAAAGTACACTGTAATAAACTACAGTACATTTCATTCACTTAATCCTTATGACAACCTGTGATGTGCCAAAGAGCCTGAGCTCCCTGTGTACATAGCGGTAAACATGTTTAATTCTCATAGAACTTAATAATCTTAATGGAGATTAAACAATAAGTTATATTAAACAATAATATATTTTAAATTGTAACCAGATGGAAGACTTCCTTCCTCCATGAGAAGGAATAGCACATAAAGAACATCATAACATTGTCATCACTCTAACCCCTCCTCTACTCTGCTCTAAGGAATTAAAGTAACTTATCCAGTTGTAAATTTGGTAGGAGAAACAGGCTGTAGAAGCTCAGTTCATCCCTATTCTTATTTGGAAACACCCTATAGAGAATATACATTCTGTTCTGCTTCTACGGGAAACAGGCATACTTCTCTCTCACAGTCCAGTGTAAGAATCCTAAGGGCTAATGTGTCAGCTCCATGGTGTCAGGGTCCTGACTCCTCCTCATCTTACTCATTTTTATAATGTCCAGTGACTCACCACCACATCTACATTTTAGAAGAAATGGGCAGGAGGTGGAAAATCCTTTCCCTTTTAGGGGCATGACCCTAAGGTATAACATACTATGTTTGTTCACATCCTATTGGTAACAACTTCCATCTGATTCGATGCTAGGGAACCTAAGAAGTTAGTTCTTATCCTGAGCAGCAAGAAACCCCAGGAGATACTATAACTATAGAAGAGAGAAGAATAGATGTTGGGGACAACCAGGAAACCTCTACCACAGGTACATGCTTCTATTACAATGTTCTTCTGGTATTTCCTACCTCACTGATAAGAAAGACATAGACTTGAAAAAAACAGAAGCAAATAAAACAATTTCCATGGTTGGGATTAACTCAAGAGTCAATAATTAGAGGGGGAAAATAAATCTGTATAATCCCAGAAGATGAGAGGAATGTTGCATTTGGAATTCCAGAAGTAGTAAATGAGAATGAGGACTGAACTTTCGCTGTTAAGGTTAGAACCACAGCTCTGCAATATGTGATCCTAGGTACAACCACTTAATCTGTCTATAAAATATATATACTTCATATTATTGTAGTTTCAAAGTCCATTGGAAACCACAGAGAAACTTAACAATAGTGAATATAAGGAGTATCAAGAAAAGAGCTCAGTCTTTTTTCCTTCTTTTTTGTGGTGCTAGGGACCAAACCCAAGGCCTCACACATGTTAAGCATGCCCCTTACCACTATGCTACATTCCCAGCTCAAGCTGATCTATTTTAACACCATTAACCAGCCTGAACTGGTCTTAGCAATCCAGTGTACTCTTATGAAGGCAAACTAGTCCTCATGAAACTAGATTAAATTGTCCTTTAGCATCCATGAAAAGTATACGTAAGGATTCCAAGAATGGACAAGCTGGTATATTGTGGTTGAGAATGCTTCTGCCAATGAAGCCTAAAGCTAGTGATCAGATATTCAGAAAAAGATAAGATCTAGACAGAGCCCCCAAGATAGTTCATGGGGGAACTATTCTTTGCTAGTTCATGAAAGGAAAAAAGGGAAAGAAAGGGCAGGTAAAATATGGAAACTAAATCAGAACCTAACTATATATCATACATTTTTTTAAGTCAGCAAGGAACAACTAATCTTAATTTGAAGTGGGGCGTAAAGGGAAGAAAAATAATAAAACCATGTATTTCTTATCCTGTCCAGGCTGCTTGTTAACTATACTCCTTCTAAAGCTTGCAAGACATACAAAGGTTGAATTCTGAAGCAGGTTATTTAAATGGGTATTCTTAGCAACACATACTATGCTTTTTTAATAATAGCAAACTTTCAGTTTGCATAAAACTTTGCCAAGTGAAATATTTGGTTGCTATTGTAAAATTAGTTGTATCATTTGAAAAACAGAAAAATGTTAAAACCATATGCGCACCAGGCATGGTGCATGTACCTGTAATCCCAGCAAAATTTGGGGGCCTGAGGCAGAAGGATTACAAATTCAAAGCAGCCTCAGCAATTTAGTGAGACCTTATCTCAAAAATAAAAAACAAAAGAGGCTGGGGATGTGGCTCAGTGGTTAAGCACCCCTGGGTTCAGTTCCCATACCAAATAAATAAACACAACAGCAGCTGTAAATGGTACTTTAGAAAGTGAAAGAAATACAATCCTATTATGGAGTCATAACAAAATTTTTAATAAATTTAATATCTAGAACTAGATTTCCTTTAATTATTAGACTGGACAATTTATATTTTACAAATTTAATTGCTCATAACTTTTGACTTCCTTAAGTAGGTATATAAAAATTAATTTTGGGAGGGAGTGTACAAGTAAATCAATATAATTTTAAAAATCCCTATGATAGGGCTGGGGCTATAGCTTAGTGGCAGAGCGCTTGCTTAGCATGCATGAGGCACTAGGTTTGATCCTTAGCACCACATAAAAATAAACAAAATACTTTGTGTACAACCAGAGATATGAAAAATTGAGCTCTATATGTTTAATATGAATTATAATGCATTCTGCTGTCATATGTAGCAAATTAGAATAAATTTTTAAAAATAAAGGCATTCTGTCTATGTACCACTACAAAAAAAATTTTTTTAAATCACTATGATAAAATATTTCCACCTTCAGAAATGGGATAGTAGCATATCAGAACAATTCTGAGAAGAGTTGCTATAGATTTATATTTATACTGATTTCTTAAAGAGAAAATCCAGCAAGTTTATTTAAAGTTTTTTCACAGACTAGTTAGTACCTTCTTACAAACACTCCCGCAGAAGGCACCTTTTTTTTCACTCGCCTCTTCTCTTTGCTGGACTCACATGAGTCATCTTCCTATCAACAAAAGAAAAAAGAAATGAGACTTTTCATTCTAGCACATATTTTCATCTTTCTACATTGTCTGTTCAAAAGAAAAAAAATTAATCATGCTAAGTATTTTCAACTCTGATTAAATTTCTTTTAAGATTTTTGTAAATAAGATCCCAAATCTGAAGTACCAGTGCTTCATATTATGCTAAATCTTAAGGCTGGAAGGCACCTTGAAAAATCATTCAGTCCTATCTCTACCTAAAATATCCCTCAAAGAGAATGCCTTGTTTTTCATTCTTGTATCTTAGACTAACATGTCATAATACACTGCTAACTGAAATGCAGAAAGGGTCACTATGTCATCCTCTGGATTTTTTTGCAAGGCCCACAGGGCTAGGATTTATATTTGCTGACTCCTTTCTTCCCTTTTATGTTTGTACAGCACCTCTTTACTGCCCTTGACTCATTTTCCACTTTGCCCCACTCCCACTGTTCTGGAAAATTTCTTATCATCTTGGTAATTCTCATGACCTATCAGAAAAATCAACAAAATGTTATGGAAAGGAACAAGGGATAAGGCTGGAAACACTGCAGATGTTCACTAGCTCTTAGTCATTTTTGAGTAATTCTCCAAGTAAAAAAAAATGCTGTGGGGGCTGAGGTTGTGGCTCAGCGGTAGAGCGCTCGCCTAGCTCATTCGAGGCCCTGGGTTCGATCCTCAGCACCACATAAAAATAAATAAATAAAAATATTGTGACCAACTAAAAAATAAATTTAAAAAATACTGTGTACCTAGTTAGGACAGAATCTGAATAAAGAAGCTCCAGGAACAGGACAAGGCACATGTCCATGGGGAAAGCCCATGGCTAGAATTAATTCCTGAAGGTGTTCCTTCTGATACTTTTGCTAATGAGCTCAGTTAGCTTTATTCATATATAGTAGTGTATGAACCTGGAAGCTATCTTCCAACACCACCTGGAAAAACAGTCATTTCTCTGTGTTCCCTCCTCATCTCTCAGTTGCAAACTTGCTATCATCCAAGTTTCTAAAGATGAATTTGTCAAAATACATGTTCTTAACAAGCACCATAAGAAAGTGAGGGTGTGGAGTTTATAATGGCAGCAGCAAGTAATGTGGACAGGATGAACTTGAGGCTGGGCTGTTAGGTTGAAATTAGAATGTCTTGACACAAAGCCCAGCATACAAGTACTCAATACCTAAGTTGATGATGACTGAAATATTATAGAGATGAATCAGATAACCTTATGAAACTTAAATTTTTAGTACTGTGGATAAACTAAGTACCCAATCAAACTGTAATATAAATGAGATGCCCTCAGAGCAATACAAAGTGCTTGGTGAAAGGAGAGATCATATGTGGTCATGGGCATTAGGAAAAAGGTAACAAAAGCAATGATTCCTGGGGATATTTAAGAGGCAGAGTTGATAGGGAGCCTTCAGGCCTAAGAACAAAATGAACAAAGGCTTGGTGTTGGGAAAGAGTAGGGTAAGGTCAGAAAAGACAGGATACATGTAGGAAAACAGACAGAAATAAGGCTGTTAAGATAGTTTAAGAATAAATGACAAACTGAAGATTCATTCATTCATTCATTCAGGGTAGGAGAGTGACAAGAAAATCAAGCTGATAATTTCTGTGTCTACACAGAATAATAGTTCAGACAGACACAGACACCTTCACAGACACCTACAAGATCAGCAAGAAAAATAGAGCATATGTTCCTATCTGTGGGATGGCCCACTTTCTATGGGCTGGAGAAAACAAAGTTAGTCATGACTAAGAATCTAAGACTGAGCAGGGCACTGTGATGCACAACTGCATTCCCAATTTCTTAGGAAGTTGGAAAAAAATATTTTTTTTTCATACACGTATACATATATACACACACATATATAAAGGGTTGGGGATATAGTCCATTAGTAGAGTGCTCCAGGTTCAATTCCCAGTACCACCAAAAAAGAAAAAAAAAAATTCCAAGACTCAAAGACAGTAATTGAGAAAATGGTGATGCCATGAATTTGAACATAGAGGGGAATCTGGTCTTTATGTTGAGTTTGGTTCTAGACATTTTTTTTAAATTAGGTGCCATCAAAAATTTCAAGTGGAAATGTGCTACTGGCAATGAGAAATAGTTGAAGAGTCCTGATGGGGACATAGTACTAAAATATGAGTTTGATAATCACTTACACAGAAAGATTAGAGAAGTATAATCTGAAGGCAGAGATTCTGAGTTTGTTCCTGCTTCACACTAGCTATACGCTCTAACAAGATACTTAGCTTCCTCATACATAACATAAAATGGAATCTACCTCCTCAGTGTTGATACAGAGAAGCTGAGATAATATCTAAGAAAGCACTATAAAAACAGTTAATTTAAAAAACTAGTTTTTAGGGCTGGGGTTATGGCTTAGCGGTAGAGAACTCATCTAGCACATCCGAGGCCCTGGGATCAATCCTCAGCACCACATAAAAATAAATAAATAAAATAAAGGTATAAAAAAATTTTTTAAAAATTTTTAAAAATATGTCAAACTATCCTAAGTAACTCCTAAGAACTTCTCTGAGTAAAAATTATACTACTACATATTCTTGGGAGAGATTTAAAGATACAACTTTATGCAATCATAAGAAAGTAGTGGGAGAAAGATTTAGTCAGACTCCAAAATAAACTCTTCCAATTCTTAGCTGCATAGGAAGGAAAAAAGAGAAAAAGACACAAGAAAGGGAGAAAATAATACAAACAATACTGCTAGTAATAGCTTGTGTGTGCCACAAACTGCTCAGGGTTTCTACATAATATTTCATTTAATATCACTACAATCCCATGAGGTATTATTATCCCCCATCTTATAGATGAGGAGATTGAGAATTAGAAGCTTTTCAGAAGAGAAAATAAGAAGTGCCCGAGTTACAGCTGTTAATGACATTAATTTGGGATTAACTTGGGCTGGGGTTGTAGCTCAGTGGTAGAGTGTTTGCCTCGCATGTGTGAGGTACTGAGTTCAATTCTCAGCACCACATAAAAATAAAAAAATAAATACAATAAAGGTCCATCAACAACTGAAAAATATATTTAATTTTTTTTTAATTTGGAATAATCTAAAGCAAGATTGCACAACAAACGGCCCTCAGTCCAGGGCCTGAGTCAGCTCTCCTGAAAGTCTACACATTGTTAGAGGAGAGTGGCATTTTAGAGAACTTGAATTGTGCAGAAGGAAACTTGAAAACAGAATGCTTCTGAACATGAAAAGAGAATTTATAAATAGCTAAAAAATGGAAAATTTTATGCAGAGACTGTCAGTTTGGAATGACTCAAATGAAAGTGTACATTTTGAGTGATCCCCAAAATAAAGACTGTCCTACCTAAGCAGCTGGAGAAAAACAATTACCTTTGAGGAGGAATTGCAGTCCCGGATACAAGGTGACAAGATGACAAGGACATATATTATTTTAGTATTTCTAAATTGGCTTTATGGTTTAGATGTGATGTCCCTCAAAAGTTCACATTTGAGACAATGCAAGAAGGTTTGAAGGAGAAATGATTGGGTAATAGCCTTAACCTAATCAGTGACTTGATCCCTGATGGGATTAATTGAGCGGTAACTGGAGGCAGGTGGGGTGTGGCTAGGAGAAGTGGTTAATTGAGGGCATGGCTTTGGGATATATATTTGTACCTGAAGAGTGAGTGGAGTCTCTCTCTCTCTGCTTTCTGATCATGATATGAGCTGCTTCCCTCTGCCACACTCTCCAGCTATGATGTTCAACTCATCTGGAGCCCCAAGGAATGGAACCGGCTTTCTATGGACTAAGACCTCTGAAACCATGAGCCCTCAAACTTTTCCTCCTCTATAACGGTGCTGGTCAGATCCTTCTAGTTATAGCAGCGAAAAAGCTGACTAAAATGGTGGCCATTAAAGAGATTAATAATTAGTTTGTACAAAAATAAAAAGAAGCCAGGAAGTTTTTGTTATGAATCATGAAGCAATTCAGGCCTGGAACAGAACTAATTCATCCAATAATGAAGAAAAAACATCTTTACAGAAAGAAAATAGTAACCATGTCTGAATCCCCACCTTGTATCATAATGAGCCAATCACAAGGACCACATCATGACAGTCTTCACTTGAAGAACACATAAGGGTCAAAGTTTCCCCAGTGCACTTCTACCTTATCTACTCGTGAGATCTAGAAGGCCTCAAACCCAAGAAGCACTTGGGGTTTCCTGTTGTCATGTTTCTGTCTTCTATACTCCACCTATTTTTCTGGACTTGGCTCTATTTCTTACATGAGTTTCTTTTTAATTTCCTTCTATATATTTGCTCTTTTTGTCACTCTTAAGATAAATTTTTCTATTTTTTACAGCTATATTCTGAATTCCAAATTCATAATTTCAATTGTGAAAGAACTAAGAGTATGGAGTTAAAGTTACAAATTTTGACTGATATTTCCACCATTACCAGCTGTGTGATTTAAATAAGTTACTTAACCCTTCTGAGCCTCCATTACTTCCTATACTAAATGAGGACTAGACAAATAACATAATAAGAAACTTGTGAAAGAACTCTGTAAACACAAAGTGTTACACAAATGTTAGTTTGTATAATTCCATAACCTGAGCAAAAGGATGCTATGAAAATTTCTGTGCTGGATCTTTTTTATTGTTTTTTGTTTTTCCTTTCAGTACTAGGTATCAAAATCAAGGCTTCACATGCTAGGCAAGTGCCATACCCATTGAGCTACACCTCTAGCTGTTTTTTTGGACGGGAAGGGTGTTGCAGGAACTGAACTCAGAGGCACTGGACCACTGAGCCAAATCCGCAGTGCTCTATTTTGTATTTTATTTAGAGACATGGCCTCACTGAGTTGCTTAGGGCCTCACTGTTGCTGAGGCTGGCTTTGAACTTTCAATCCTCCTGCCTCAGCCTCCTAAGCCACTGGATTACAGGCCCGTACCACTGCACCCAGCAACCACCCTTTTATTTTTAGTCAGAGTCTCACCAAGTTGCCAAGACTGTCCTCAAATTTGCAATCCTCCTGCCTCAGTCTCTCAAGTAGCTGGGATTACAAGCCTGTGCCATCAGGCCTGCCTCTTTTCTACTCTTAAACTGATGAAGGTTTCTAAAATGGATTCCATTCCAAGAACTTTACTTAGGTTATTTATAATATTAAAATGTACATACTTTCTAACTGCCTCTGAATTCTTACTGCTTATTCTGCCTATAAAAAAAATAGCTTTTCCTTATATGGTACAAGATTAACAATAGCACTTACTACACACTCAGTGAACCATGCTGAGGTCCTAATTAAATGAGACACACACACACATTGAAGAGGAAGAAACTATTAGAGATAAATAGAGCTTACATATAGATGTAGATTCCTTTTATCTTGACATCAGCTCTAAAAAGTCTAAATTATTCTCTTCAACTTACAACTGAATCACAAAGCAGTTAAAAGATTTTCCCAAATCAAAAATTATTGTAACCAGGAATCAAACTCAACTAGTCCCAGCCCAAAGCTTACACTCTGATTTATTCCCTCAATAAAAATAAACATGTTAAGGATACCAACCATATCCATAAAATTGGGGGTCTGAATTTTCTCCATTGTTTCCCTAAGTTGATCCACCTCTGCTCGATATTCATCCAGTTGGCATTCTAATTTCTCTCTACGGAGTCGTTCATACTCCAGCTGGTCCTGCAGTTCTTTGATGGTCCTGTCAAAACAATTTTATTCAATTATCCTCCAATATCATTATATACTCCAATACCATTACTAACATTTTTGGTAAAGTGGAAAGTGCCCATTTAAGACAAGTAAATTAAATCAAAGGCATAGTTACTGCATTTCAGGTCTACTTGAACCAGCAGTGATCTGTGTACTAGAGATGATAAGTAGTGAAAAAAAAGCCAAGACCTGCCCTCTTTAATTTAGTAGTGGAGGAAAACAGATAGTAGAAGGGGGGAAAAAAGTAAAACACATTGGTATCTCCGAG